CTTGAGAGGTCCTGCAAAGAAGAATGGGAGAAACTGCCCAAAAATAGCATCATACTTAAAAAGACTTGAGGCTGCAATTGTTGCCAAAGGTGCTCCAACAAAGTATTGTTATACTTATGTACATGTGATATATATATATATATATTTATCAATTTCCAAAGATTTCAAATAAACTTGTTTTACATTGTCATTATGGGGCATTGTTTGTAGAATTTTGAGGAAAATAATGAATTTAAGACATTTTGGAATAAGGCTATAACATAACAAAATGTGGAAAAAGTACAGTGCTCTGAACACTTTCCAGATGCACTGTATTCAGCAGGCTTTAGTATAGCAAAAGTGTGAGATTTTATGTAACTTTTATATTTACAAATACTGAATTAGTGTGAGGGACATCTTATTAATAGGAACATGTTGATTTCATTACAAATACATTTTATAAACATATTCAGAGAGCTCCCATAGTGTCCATAACAGGGTTGAAGACTAATAGTGCCCATATCTTAAAATAATGACCAATAAAAATAGGGATTTGATGCCTGAGGTGGGAAAATATGTTTTTCTGGAAGTTAAATATGTCATTAATGTTGTGGGGTGTTCAGAAAAGTAATACTTTTGGGTAAAAAATCTAAAAATGTGAAAGCCCAAATTGTACCGGTTTCGTGGAATGACTCAGCAGTGTTTAAAACACTGCTCTCTTAAGAAACAGTTGAGTCAGATGTGTCTTGAAAAGAGGCATTGTATTGTGTTCATTAACATCTATAGCTGCTTTTCTACTGAAATTGCCTGGAACAATTTGTTCCAGGAACTTTTTCCCCCCAGACCTGTTGCTATCTGCGTTTCCATCGCAATCTAAAATACAGTGAAAATTAGGCAAATAGTCTGGTGACGTAGGTCTGCGCGCCTTTCTCAATAACAAGTACGCAAATTTCGGACTTGCGTCCTCGGTTTGGACTTCGCGAGTTTGACTTGGGAGTGTGAACTCCGGAAGTCCGGTAATTCTGCAAATGGAACAGCAGTGTAGGCTACTTGATAACATCAGCCAGCTCACATTGGCTACTGCAATTTTCACGAGAATGTTCTGGAAAGTGATTTTGAGCCTCTCTGTGATAGTGTACCACAAGGCGTCGCTCACTAGTGGATCTCAGACTTCTGGAGGGGATGTAGATTTGTAGTAGTGAGTGGAAGTAGGCTGGTGCTGAGCCTGTGGCTGTTCTATATGCAAGCATCAATGTCTTGAACTTGATGCGAGTCGCAACCGGTAGCCAGTGCAAGGAGATAAAGAGAGGTGTAACATGGGCTCTTTTGGGCTCGTTAAAGACCAGTCGTGTTGCTGCATTCTGAATCATTTGTAGAGGTTTGATTGTGCTTGATGGAAATCCAGCCAGAAGAGCATTGCAGTATGATATTCTTTCATCCATGCTGAGATGTCCTCCAGGCAGCCTGAGATCCATGCAGCTACCACTGGATCATCTGGTTGAAATGAGAGATAGAGCTGTGTGTCATCAGCATAGCAATGGTAGGAGAAGCCATGTGTCTGTATGATGGGACCCAGTGATGTTGTGTATATGGAGAAGAGGAGGGGTCCAAGAACTGATCCCTGAGGAACCCCAGTGACAAGTTGATGTGCTTTGGATACCTCCCCTCCCCAAGCCACCCTGAAAGACCTACCAGTGAGATAGGATTCAAACCAGCGGGTCTATAAGAGAAGTGTTTAATGTAGGTTTTTTGAACAGTGGGGTTACCCGAGCCTGCTTGAATGCAGTGGGGAAGGTGCCTGTGAGGAGAGATGTGTTGAGGGTGTGTGTGAGTGCTGGTAAGAGTGTAGGAGAGATTGCTTGGAGAAGGTGTGAGGTGATTGGGTCCAGAGGGCATGTTGTAGGATGCTGGAGAGGAGAAGTTTTGATACTTCTGCCTCAGTGAGGGGACAGATGGAGAAGATGGGAGTTTTAGCAGTGGGTGTGGTTGATTTGAAGTCCTGTGTGTGTGGGGCTGAGAACTGACTACTGATTGTTCTAGTTTTGTCTGTGAAGAATGTGGCGAAACGTCAGCTGTTATAGAAGTGGTGGGAGGTGGTGGAGGGGGACAGAGGAGAGAGTTTGCTCCGATGCTCACGAAGAACATCGGATAACCAGGGGTTAGAAGGGGTAGCCCGTGCTGGCCTGGAGGAGATAGGACAAATATCCAAGAGGTTAAAGTAGAGCATAAAGTGTCAGTTGCTGCTTCACATCCAGATATGAGAAATGGGTAGGTATGTCATGATGTCATTAATGACAGTTCTGTATTAATGTTGTTGAAACGATGGAAGTGCAACCATGTTACATCAGTTTTGAGAAACAGCCATGACTAGCTAGTTAATTTTTCTAATAAAGCATCGTGCAATGTTGGTTAAGCATCTTGTACAGAAACAGAACACTCTAGGAACCACATAACAAAACATAGAAAATAACCACTGATAACACACATATTGGTGGTGGAGAGTCATCTTCAAATGAAAGTAAATATCTACTTTGTTATGCAGCAAAATGGGTTACAAGCAGATTTTCTCCCAAAGTATTTCTCTCTTGAGTCTCGATCCCAAGATGCTACAGGAAGAAGATATTTTAGGGCTGAGAATTTGAAATTCAAGAGCCTTGTCCTGAATTTTGAGTACTTAAGATGTGAGAGAATCTTAATTAATTCAGTCCTGCATACGTTGCATATGTGTTTGAACTTTCTGTGTATCTCTCTGTGTGTGCTTTGGGTTTTACACTCTGAATCACTGCTTCTTGTTTCATGTTAGCTCTATTTAAAAGGCCATTCGTGGGTTATGAGTGGGTTAGATTGATGCAGCCGTCATGGACAAGGTCACTATGAGAGGAATTCCACATCAGCTCTATCTCTGTGCAGTCGTGTGGGGAAGACCAAGCATTTTCCCAACCTGCGATCTCTTCAGCACTGGCTTACAAATGAGCTTTTCACTGGATGTTTGTCAGTGTGACCTTGAATCGGACGTTAATAATGTCATCACATTGTGGAATGGTTTTTAATTAAATGGTTATGTGGAATCATTTATCCAGATTTGACAGCAGCTTCTGGTATTTTTGTATTCAAATGTTTTGTTTTTATGGTGAGTTTCGGCACATTGCTATTTCAATTCATTCATGTTTTGGAATGGGAAGCAGCAGAGAGTATATTAACTTCGCATTAACAAAGATGTCTATATTTTATCTGAATGTAAATGCATTTCTACTTTTGAATCTGTTATGCATGAGATTAGGTTTGTTAGGGGCCATATAGGTCATTCTGTGTATACATTGAGAATAGCCCTCTCATATTACATTCATAGACTGAAAATTGCTCCCAAGAGGATTATGTGGCCTTCATCAGCATTACTGTCCACTGTTAGTAAAATGGGAGCTGAAAAACATGAACCTAGCAATCAAACATTGATATTACTTTTCTGATGTCAAATTAACTTTAAGTTAAATACCTTCAATATTTTATCATCTTAGTCTGCCCGTCCCACCCAAGTAGTATGTGAAAGCAATTGCATTTTAAACATTTAGTTTATGTGACTTTGAATTATTACATAATTGAGTACTGAATAGAGGTTTGATATGTTGACAGAGTTAGGCTGGTTGTTCAATATGTCAACAACTGAACAAGCACAATGTCACAATATCAATAGTTTCAATATTTCTAACATGTACTAAAAAGTACAGTTTATGTTGTTGTTGTTGTTTGCAAGTCTACATACAATTAATAAATAAGAAACATTTGTTGACTTCACCCTACTATGCCACATTATCATTGATTTCATGCATATTAGTATATTAGGATTTGCAGTAACACTTTAAAATAAGGTTAAATTTGTTTATTATAGTTAATGAATTAAGTATCAATAAACAACATTTTAACTAACAATAAATAAATCAAAGTTCTGGCATTAAACTCTAGATGGCGCAGTCCTATAGGTCTAACTCAATCTGACATGTTGACATCATTATCACATGGCACAGCTGATTGGTTCTCTCCTGTATCGGTAGCCAATGAGCTCGCTGCTCAACATTCAAATACTTGGCTAGAGCTTGCTGTAGCAGTCACAGTGCGCTTCAGAAACCCTCCACCTTCCGCAGCTCCACCTGTATAGATCTGCTACGGGTTGATCATGTATGCTATATGGGGGTTATTTCATGTATGTTATATGTGCAGCAGCAGTATTTCTTACATGCTCACAGCAGCATGTTGTGGATGTATGGGCAGTAGCAAGTCTCGGTACTTGCTCTGCAGCAGCAGCAGCGGTGCAGATCTATTCCGCCAAGACCAAACACATTAACATTGTCATGTACATTACCATGCCAATCTCTTCGAGAGTTGCCATGACAGAACTTTTATTACAGATTTTTTTTATATCATTCATTCATTCATTCACTGTGAAATGACAATTAATGAATAAATAATTTTATTTTTTATTACCGAACATTAATAATCATAAACTTTTAAATTTTGTTACAAATTAATCCTTATTATAAAGTGTTATCAGTTTTTCCGTATCAGCTAGTTTATGGCCCATTTAATGAAAATCATTATCTGTATGAAAACAGCTTCTTCTGAATCTGCTTTCAGTGACTATTGCAAAACCATCAAACAGCATCTGGCCCACGTGGTTTTGAAACGTAGTTAGCAAATCCTTTATCCTTAGATGACCTTGTGAGTCAATAAAGACTGACTGTGCTTCCATGAGTTATTTAATTAAGTAAATGTACTACACTGGTTATCCTTGATGTGATCATTATAGCTTTGCATTTGATAGCGTAAGGGAGTTTTACTGGTACTATATTGCATTACAGAGTATTTGTCTCAAATACAGATGACACTGACTCTTGATACATGGACAACAGAACTGAAAATGCCTTTTTAAAGATAATCTAATGTCATATTTTTTGTATTTTCAAGGTGGAAATGTTGGTATTTTTAATCTGATGTCTCATTTATGTGTTTCTCTGTTTCTCTCCCAGCAGGTATGCACACCAGTATCAGTGAGATTTTGAAGGCGAAAACGCTAAAATCGTCTCGCCGCAGTTTGCCGTGTCTGGCTCAGAGTCAGACACATCCTCAGAACCTCAATCACTTCCTCTCTGTGCCTCTGAGTCCTGAACCCAAAACATACAGTCACAGCGTCAGTGCCTCCTGCACACACATCACACCTCCTCCCACAGGTAAGCACTAGCAAACTTGTCTTTGTGAAACTTGTCTTTGTGTTTTAGTATGCTTGTAGTTAGCAAACTAACCTATTAACCTGATAAGAAAGCATGCCTTATGAAATGTAGTAATCATATCAACCTTTTGGGCTTTCATTGTGAGATATGGTAATACCAACACAATACCATGATTATGCATAAGTATTTTACATATTGACAGACCCGAAAGCTCACTCTGCGATTTCTTTCAGTTGGCATGAGGACATGATACTGGCTGCATCTTGTTCTGTCGAGTTAAATGTTGAACATGGCGATGTTTCCACACGTAGAGATAAAAGACACACACAGTCCCTCACTCCATTGCCTATGAGGAGTTAACTGATGTGTTAACTCGTGCTGTAGACAAACTCAGTTAGAATTGGCCTGAGGAAGAACTGAAAGTGTCCCACATTCATTTAGACAAATGTTTTCTATCAGGTCAAAGCACGTATCCTCCTCGTAGGCGGTTTTCTTTCTTCCAGGATCTCCACAACAAGAGGTCCTGGGAGCAGCCTTATTCGACTTGATTACGTCAACCCATGATGACTAATTGTTCATCTATTATGGGGCTGACAGACCATGGGAACTGGCTCATCCTGTAGAGGACCATCATTACCCTCCAGAACATGTAAAGTTAAATCTATTATGACTGGCTGGGGCATCACAGTACTCCATCGTTCTGTCTGAACTCTGCCAGGCCGTTGACCTCAATGCAAATGGCCTGCACGATTGGCCATTCAGTGGCAGGAATGACTGCCATGAAGCTGCACCTGTGGTTAAACCTGGCTCAGCAGTCCAGTTGAAAGCTGGACCTCCCGATCTGCCAGATAAGATCAGCCCTGATGCCGAGGCGTTCAGGGTTCTGAGGGCAAGCCCCCTCGGGGGAGAGTGTCACATCAAAACATTGTGTGCTCTTTCATTCTCAATGCCCTTAAGGGTCTATCTTGTTAAACCCGCCACATTCTGTGTTTTGGGGAGGCAGCATTTCCCAGTGAGTTCTCTGCACAGCACCACTGCTGGAGCATAGTGCCTGTCCCCTCCTCGGAGGGTACTGGGGAACAAGAGGTTGTTAGGACTGTCTTCCTATTCGTCATGCTGTCGAATGATCAAAGGTATCAAAATGCTCGCTCTTGTCTACCTGACTGACATGAGGTAGAGCTTGAGATATGCAGGGTGAGTGACTAGCAGAAAACAGCCAAACTTCAGAACCAAGGGACTGATTGGAAAAGCGGTGCCCAACAGGGCTTAGTCGGGCCAACGTGCCCTAAAAGCCTCTTGTACTCTGGGCACAGGGGCAGTCATGGCTTAATGGTTAGAGAGTTGGGCTTGTAACCCAAAGGTCATGGGTTCAAGTCTCGATAATAGCAGGGATTGTAGGTGGGGGGAGTGAATGACCAGCGCTGTCTTCCATCTTCAATACCACGACTGAGGTGAGACCCTTGAGCAAGGCACGAATCTCCAACTGCTTTGTATGTGCACTTGGATGGGTTAAATGCAGAGCACCATACTTGGCCAAATATCACATCACTTGTAAGGTACCCTCTGAAGAGGGGTCAGATGCCGCAGGGAACTGCTGCCTCCTGAAACAGAAACTATATACGTTCCAAGGCTGTAATCAAATATTTAAGATATAGTTTAAGAGTGCCACAAGATAAATGTTTCCATAACAGAGTGCCCATGAGCAAAAATGACAGTATGCAGGTCAGATACTTCTAGGGCTTCATACATTAGCAGAGTACCACAGCCAGTGAGATGATTGGGATGTTTTCTCCAGGTTTTATAGACCTCCTTGGTGCAAACTAAATCAGGTCCAAACCATGAACTATTGTCACTCAGGTAATGGTTTAGTTCTACTGTTGTTCTTAGAACTGTCACTACAAAAGGCAGACCACACACCATGCTGGTTTCATCTGGACAGAGGAGAACTAACCTGCCCCCCACCCCACCCCCGACTAAGCTTGGTTTCTCCCAAGTTTTTTTTTTTTTCCATTTCTGTCACCAATGGAGTTTTGGTTCCTTGCCACTTTTGCCTTTTGCTTGCTTAGTTGGGGACACAATGTCTGGCAATGTTGTTGTTTTTGAAGAGAACCGAACTGAGCTGGTCGATAACATAACTGAATCAACAATGAACTGACTTTAACTGAAAAATTGACAGTTTACTATTGTCTTGCTACATTATTGATACACTATATTCCTATTTAAGACTGTAAAGCTGCTTTGACACAATCTGTATTGTATAAAGCTCTATATAAATAAAGGTGACGTGACTTGACCTTAATTTTCTCTGTATGCATGTGGACCGAAGCCACAGATTAACTATAAAAATCAGCTGGCTTAAAAAGGACCATCTCATTATCCATTATTCATTCTGTAATTGTGTTGACCTCATCAGGTCAGGTGCTTTTGCTAAAAGATCTCCTGGCAGGAGTGTTGTATCAAAATGATGGCCATTAGTGGCTGGTACTAAACTCAAGGGAAAATGTAATGCTTTTCTTAGAAGAGTCCGGCGATGTCAGCACTTGGAAATGCTTCCAGCATATTCGCTAAGAACCTTGTGCAGCACCTGTAGAGCTAATGAGGGTTACTGGCTGCAGCAGTCAGCAGTAATCTCAGTACACAGAAGATAAAAGTGGACAAATTTTGGTGATCGAAGCACTAACTTTGTGGTAGCAGAAATTTAAAGGCTCGTTGCTTGAATTCAAAGCCCTTTGTCAATCGAAACCCAACCTGTCAAGTCCAATTAGGTATATAATACCTGAAGAAAGCTATTCCCAGTCTCACTGACAGTTTGACAAGCGCTGTATGCCTCTAGAAGTATGAGGCTATGAATCCCATGTGACTAATTATGCTTAAGTAAACATGATAAATACTATAGCAGACATTTTACACAAGGCTAAGACTAGGAATAAATGAGAAAACAGCTGATAATTTTCACATCCATATTCATCACCATTTAATTTTAACGAGTTAATCTCATAAAACCCAGTGTTTATCTCTTGGACAGACACTAGTCAGGATGTCTACATGGAAGAGAGGGAGGTGGCGGAGGTTGAGCCTAAAACGGATGAAACGTTCCTCGTCCAGAAAAAGCCTGTGTCCAGAGCAAAGCTAGAGGCCCGCACAGACTCCATACAGGTACAACATCTGTCCACTTACCTGCTGATGTACTGCCAACCCAGCTTCAAAATCTATGTTTGATGATGAATTAAATCAGATCTCGAGTAGCATTTTTTGCCTGCCTTAAGTAGCTCCCTTTTTTCAAGTGCCTTTTATAATCACATAAACGTTTTCCTTTTTTTTTCTCTCACAATTAAATGTTTCAGCAACATATCGAGATGTTCAATAATGATGTCAATTTGCAAGCCAACACTGAAAAATTCATAAGTACAAAAATGTCTGTGGTAAAGAGTCTTTCCCGTTTCGTTCTACAACATAAATTACAGTCATACCTCAAAAGTAGGGCTGCACGATTAATCGAATGCGATTGTCATGCGCATTTTGTTAGTAAAGCCGGTTCTGTAATTAGCAGTAAATCATCATCACGTGCTTTCAGATGGAGTAGAATTTACTACACCGAGCCGTAGTTCACTGACAAGCTACGCAAAAAAATTGTAAATCCGTCTGTGAGATGATGTGGCTTCTTACACAGAATAAGGCACGCAACACATTTCATAGTATTTAAGCAGTGATAAAGGCATTGCATTATAAATAGACTTTATTTTAATGAAAATTATAATAATAAGAACTCAGATAAACCGTATATTGCCGTAGTTGTGTGTTTATTAGTCACGCTGAATCAATGAAAGCAGTTAAATCTTCTGTTTATTCAGCTGCAGCGCTAGGCATTTTCTGGGTTTCTTCTGCGAGGCGTATTTGGAGTTTCAGCGCGAGAGCGCCCTCTGGCCTTTGGATGGAGATTTACTGCTGATCACAGAACCGTGCTTCACTGAAAGATACGCATGACAATCGCAGCTTCTGTCGAATCGCGATCTCGATTCCATTTCGATTTATCGTGCAGCCCTACTCAAAAGGGAATTTTGACATTCCTGAGGGAAACCCACGGCTTAAATGTTTTAGGACTAAAACTTAACAGAATTATTGTTTCATATGTTCTAATAAAATCTTATTAAATGCTCTGATTAATTTTCAGGGGAACAATCTAGAAAACCCCTCAGGATTGATGTTTAGAGATGGGAAGAAGCGCATTGACTATATATTAGTCTATAAGAAATCCAGCCCTCAGGTGGAGAAGAGGTGCACATTTGAGAGGAACCTGCGGGCGGAAGGGCTAATGCTGGAGAAGGAGGTACAGAACAAAATCTTTCACTAGATGACAGTGGTATTTTAAAGGTCATTTGTTTGGATTTATTATTTTGCCCTTAAAGTCCCCATGAAATCAAAATTAAAGTTTTTTGGGCTCCAAAACAGTGACAAAATTCGCATTTAGAAGATATAAGCATTCAAAGCCTGCAAGTTCGTCACTTCCGCCAAAACGGCTCAACGATTTTTTTGACGTCACATCGTACTTCAGCTTCTCATCAAACTTTCTGTCCAATCAAATGCTCTCTAGAATCCGAAGCGCCCGCCCCCTACACTATAAAATAGACGCTGCTGAAATCGGTCACTTGTCCACAGAATTAGTATTTTCTGTACAGTGAATGGCACGTAGTGCACTATATAGGGGACAGGGAACGATTCAAACAGTGTAAATTTGCACCGCACACACACTCTGCTCCGGTCCAGAGACACGATAGCACAGAGCGGATCACATGCGCGAGTCGGCGCAGACCACAAAATGTATCGGAGCTATTTGAATTCTACACAGAATGCTATATTTTATAGCAATATAGATGAGATTGTGGCTGGCATAACCTGTCAAATGCGGCTTTACGGAGCTCAACGGCTCTGAACGTCTCTAGCCCAAGCTGTGATATAAACTAACGCTATTGGCTATTTTAAAAAGGGGCGGGGCTGCTTGATATGTCCCGCCCTGTCTTCCTGTTTCAGTTAAAATGACGTCAACACATAGAGTAACACTGCGTGTTTCTAAGCATTTCAGGGGACCTTTAAGGAAAGATCACAGAATAGAACGATCAGGGTTATTTTGGCAGCTTTTGAGTGCTAGCAGAAAATAGACACTAGCTCTGTTCCAAAGTGAGCTGACTTGCTGTCTGCTGTCTACAGGCCGCTTCCTTCTAATGCATCCTCTCTGAAATGAAACCTCAGAAGTAAAACTCTTCATAGACAACTCTGCACAGCACTCAAATAGCATTTCTAATGTGATGGAAAGTCAGGAACCTTCACTCACATTTGATTCATATAGAGTCTGATGTTAGCATGCTACTATGCTAGCTACTTAATATTCTACTAAATGTAAATGTAATATAATATAAGTATTCTCATCTGAAACAAGTAGAGGTTTGGACCCAGAAACAGTGTTTGATATGTCACAGATACCAGATAAGTTTTAGAACCAACCTAATGTCAGTTAAGAGTCAAAAACTCAAGGAGTCTGCATTATTTAATTTTATGTGTCTTATGTGGTTTTCTTAGGTAACTCTTAATGTTCTATATTGGTAGCTGAACACCTGAACTCTACTTTATCAAACCTACTTTTCTTCTCCCAGATCTGTCATACCATTTTTATACTGTAGCACTCCAGCATTAGTCATACTAGTTTTTGCCTATAGGCTACAGCTCTTTTGGAGGTGTGTCTGTAATGTCTAAACATACAGTACAGTTTAAGTTTAACCTTTTCTCAAGCTTGGTAACAACATCAGCTTTTCTTAGTTCTGCTACTTTACACAGATCCAAATAAGTTTTGACACTTACATTGATATATTTACATTGATGTACTCTCATTAAAAAAGGCTCAAAATGTTGTTCCCACTAGTTACACTTGAATGAATAACGAGGGGTTGTAGACTGAATGATCATTTAGTAGGGGCTACACTCTTAAAAATAAAGGTGCTTCAAAAGGTTCTTCAAGCGATGCCATAGAAGAACCATTTTTGGTTCCACAAAGAACCCTTCAGTCAAAGGTTCTTTAAAGAACCATCTCTTTCTTACCTTTTTATAATCTGAAGAACCTTCTTTCGCCACAAAGAACCTTTTGTGAAACAGAAAGGTTCTTCAGATGTTAAAGGTTCTTTATGGAACCATTTAGACAAAAAGGTTCTTCTATGGCATCGTGAAGCACCTTTATTTTTAAGAGTGTAGTTTAGAACCATATGTGGATTTTTAATTAGGATCATATTTTAGTCATATTTCTAATACATAATATAATACAAATGTAATTCCTGCTATGTAGAATGAGCCCAAATGATATAATTCCTAGGGATCTTGCATCTGTTTTAATAGGAGAAATCATGTTGTAACCGGGTTGTACACAAAACTAGCTACTGTCAGTCCTGTGTTCCCGTGTCTTGTGTTTTTCTCCCCATGTTCTCCCCATGACCTAGTTTCTCCCTCATGTATGATTATGTTCATTAGTTCCAGGTGTGTCTTGTTATTTCCATGATCAGTTCCATAATTTAATCCCTGTGTGTTTCCATGTCCAGCGTCCGGTATTGTTCGTCGACCCCTCGTTCTACGTGTGTGTTCTTGCCTGTTCCATGTGCTCCTGTATTTGGATGAATAAAGAGTGTTGAATGTTAATCCCCTTTGTCTCCTCGTCTCCTCCACAGTAGACAGATCGTGACAGCTACTTTTCATATGATGCTAATTTAATTTAATTTTATCTTTAATATTTTAGATCACAAATTGAGTAGTTCTCATTCTAAATAACATGAGGTCAGACTTCTAGGAGAACGATAGTGTTTTAACTCAGAACACTTGCTTGCTTAAATTATTATTAATTTTTAATTATAATTGTATTACTTTTTTCTGTTTATTGCAAAAAAATCTGAAATGTATTTAGACATTTAGAGTTGTAAAAATGCTCGTAAAATGAACAAAAATTTTATTTCATATACGTTTTTCTTATATGATTATTTTTTGAAAACTGTCTGCTCAAAAACTTCAGTTCCCAATATTATAAAACCAATGCATCTAATTGATTATATGTCTGTTATATGCCAATATTGACTTGTTTTTCACTTTGACAGCCCTCATTAACAAACAGTGATATCCTGTTTGTGAAGATTCATGCGCCGTGGGACACGCTGTGTAAATATGCTGAGCAGATGAACATTAGAATGCCCTTCAGGTAGAGATCACTGTCACCATACTGTACTACACTTCATACTGTACTGCACGTGAATGCATTGTGACCGTGTGATTTATATTTTTATAGGAAAAAGTGTTACTTCACAGACTGGAAGAAAAAAACTATGGGCAGGTAGGATATTACAGAGTTCTTACTGTTCTGTGTTTACACATATTTGGCTGATATTTAATGATTTCATTTTATTTGCATTAAAGTCAAAAGCTTCTTCAGTACCTCAATTTTGTTTATTTTCTTCAAATTAAATTTGAGTCAGACTTTAGCTGTGGGGAATAAATATCTTATAGAGTTAATTAGCCCGATATTTGTTGTACGTCTCAGGGGACGAAATCACCTCTGAGTTAATCAAGCTTGATTTAAATTACATCAGAAAAGAATTCAATTTTAGAATTGAAATGCAGAAACTACCATTAATAACTCTGCTCTGTCATTTTTTAGTCTGCTCGTTGGAGATAATATCTAACTTTTGAGAAATGCTAATGCAAACGTATGTCTATAGTCGATTTCAGTTGAGATTTCGTCAGCTGAAGAGCTGGCTGCCCAGAAACCCCATGAAACTGGATAAAGAGGCATTACCAGACCTGGAGGAAACCGACTGCTACACCGCCCCCTTCAGCAGGGCCAGAATGCACCAGTACGTCCCTCATCCATGACCTTGTTATAACCAAATCTCATATCTTCTCAGAAAAACTCATATACTTTATGTATACAGAAAAAAAGTCAGTGGCACCTTTTGCTTTCTGTGGATATGATACTGCAATTGAATAGCCATGGTCTCATATACATTTCAGCCATGGTTTGCTAACTTAAGCTGAAACCACAATCCCACAACCTTCATCCACCCATGAGCTCAAGGGACTTATAGTGTCCACCACAGATTTTAGCCTCAGCTGACCCTTTTAGAACAGATTTTATGATGGAGGCACTTTCAGACGTACTTGATGTACTTGAACCTGATGACTATTTGTGAATGTTTGAGTTATTGGTTGCTGACATCCACTTTACAGATCAGAGATCAGTGGATATGCATGACCTGACAAAGAACTGTGTCCTGGGGCAGTAGAGTTAGTTTTTGTTAAGTGGGTGCTGTTAGTAAGGCTTTATTTGAGGCCGGCCAGAGGTTTTGAATGCACAGAAATGTTGGAAGAGGGCAAGTAAGGTTTAACCTGACAAACAAACTGTTATAACCAAATCTCATATCTTCTCAGAAAAACTCATATACTTTATGTATACAGAAAAAAAGTCAGTGGCACCTTTTGCTTTCTGTGAATATGATACTGCAATTGAATAGCCATGGTCTCATATACATTTCAGCCATGGTTTGCTAACTTAAGCTGAAACCACAATCCCACAACCTTCATCCACCCATGAGCTCAAGGGACTTATAGTGTCCACCACAGATTTTAGCCTCAGCTGACCCTTTTAGAACAGATTTTATGATGGAGGCACTTTCAGACCACGTACTTGATGTACTTGAACCTGATGACTATTTGTGAATGTTTGAGTTATTGGTTGCTGACATCCACTTTACAGATCAGAGATATGCATGACCTGACAAAGAACTGTGTCCTGGGGCAGTAGAGTTAGTTTTTGTTAAGTGGGTGCTGTTAGTAAGGCTTTATTTGAGGCCGGCCAGAGGTTTTGAATGCACAGAAATGTTGGAAGAGGGCAAAATTGACCCAATTGAGCATCTCTGGAGAGACCTAAAAATGGCTGTCCACCAACGTTTACCATCCAACCTGACAGAACTGGAGAGGATCTGCAAGGAGGAGTGGCAGAGGATCCCCAAATCCAGGTGTGAAAAACTTGTTGCATCTTTCCCAAAAAGACTCATGGCTGTATTAGATCAAAAGGGTGCTTCTACTAAATACTGAGCAAAGGGTCTGAATACTTAGGACCATGTGATATTTCAGTTTTTCTTTTTTAATAAATCTGCAAAAATGTCAACAATTCTGTGTTTTTCTGTCAATATGGGGTGCTGTGTGTACATTAATGAGGAAAAAAAAATAACTTAAATGATTTTAGCAAAAGGCTGCAATATAACAAAGAGTGAAAAATTAAGGGGGTCTGAATACTTTCCCTACCCACTGTATACAGCTACTCCAATCTTGATTGGTGCTGCATCACTCGTGACGTGTGACGGCAAAAAAGTTATATAGTATTCCTGCAACTAGTGATGGGGTAACACATTACAAGTTACGCAAGTTACTGAAGATAATCAGATTCTTTTCCCTAAGTAACTAGTAAAGTAACGCATTACTTTTAAATTTACAAGAAAAATTACTTTTTTAAAATAAATAACTCAGCTCAGGTGACAAAAAGTAATGCAAAAGTAACAAAATGCATTGCTTTCCGCAAGTAATGCAATTAGTTACTTTTTGTGCAGTAACACAATATTGTAATGCATTAAAATTTCACAATTATAGTGACCAAAATTATTATGGTTATCAGTATTATCACGGTATTGTTCAAATGTGCTGGAGATGTTAAAAAAGTTCTGACATAAATCACTTCACCAAGTTTTATATTTAAAAATCAACAAACAACAAATAAAATGACTTTTTGTTTGCATAATCACTAAAACAATAACATTACCAATGATGTTCGGATTTTAAATGGCAACTTGACTGACAACCGTTAATAGCATGTTGAAATATCTAATGTAAATGTTCAAATAAAGCTTTGAAAAAGTTTAATAAGTAAGGTAAACCTCACATTTCAGCCTTTAAATAAAGAAAATATATATACAGTAAGTCAAAATTATAATTGATTAATAAATTATTATACGTATTTTATCTGCTCCATAAAGAATTCTAGATAACTTATCTGAATTGTTTAAATGTGTAGAATCCACATAAGCTTGTTTTTCATAAACCGGTCAAAATTTACAGCAGGGCATGCAAATTTGGTCAATTTTTTGGCCAGACAGAAACTGCACACAGACTGAATGCAAATATAGGTCTCTGTAAATCCACTCGCTGACAGCAGGTGGCGCTGATGGAAAAGCTGAATTACAGCTGTTTCCCGTAACCTCCGTGGACAAAGCAGTATTGCGATTAAGAACACTTCCTTTAGGTATTACATGGAGCGAAGATGAAAACAAAATGCTATCGAATCATTTCTGAAGACAGTCAGAACCTTCAGAGGTACATTCATATAATAAATTCATTCATATATAAATTTTTATAATTCCCTTAGCACTCTTTTAAAACCTCCCAGCTTTTCCGCCATGTTTTCACTCAAAACGAAACTACTCTGCGTGCTGTACGCACGTGAGACTGTTACGTAAAACTGTGCTTTATGCTGGACAGTACTTATTTTTTGCGAGTTATCTAATACGGTTTTAATGATAATTAAAAGATGAAACGGTAATACTAACCGTGGGGAATTTTATCACGATTTATCGTCAAACCGGTAACCGTTACATCCCTAGTTGGGAGCAGAGCATTCTGAGCAGCAGCTGTTCACAGTGTGCATGGCCCCCCTTGAGACCCGACCATGCATGCTCCGCTCCCAAGCAGCTAACGCACATATCTTTGATGTAGCGTGGGCAGGGTGGCACACACGATCTAAACTGCTTATCACTTGCCTTTTCCATTGTACACTTTCTGTACTTTATTTTCTTTTTGCACTTTTACAACAACACCAAAAAGGACAGACAGTTTGACACAGAGCACTTGCTGAACAGCAGAAGCTAGCTCTGCTTTGTTCCATCTGTGTTATATAGCTTCTGCGGTATGCCATCACACTTCACAGGTGCCGCATTAGGATTGGAGTAGTTGCACACATGCTTCAGACGCAGTCACGCAGACGTGTCATCATTTGGGCACAGCATGAGTTCCCTTGAAAGGGAACGTATTTGTTGTGTAATATAAAAAAATATTTAAATTAAGCATTTACTGTTGTTTTTGTAGAACTGCCGTTAATTTATGAATTAAAGTGCCACAATTATATATTTGAAATATTCATAATTTGGTTTCGGGAGTCCCCAACAACAGGTTCACTTGCATGCAAGGACAAAAAACACTTTCATTTTCTTATAATAGGGATTTAATTGTACATTATTTCTCAACGACTCAAATAATTAGTTTGAAGATAAATTTTTCCAAACCCCTCTTTTGCACTTTCAGCTTTACAACTTTGCAGACTGTTTACATTTACATACAGCTACATTACACACTGCATGAAAGATAATTTTCAAAAATCAAAATGTACTAATTTTCAAAAATAATTAGGGCACTTTAATTTACTTAATTTGTTAACATTTGTTAAAAAATAATTAAAATTACATTTAATTTGTTTTTAATATGTTAAATAACAGATTGTATTACAGTAATGACAATCTAATTAGAATCATCTCTCATGAAAACAGTGTCACAGTGCAAAATATATTCTACAGGCAAATTCTATAAGGAAAATTGTAATTCTTTTGATTTTGAGGTGAAATATGACCTGAGCACGTTCTTGAAAGGTTCTGTGAGATTAATTTCATCCAGGAAGGAAGCCCATCTTTAATGTATTTATATATCTGTATGCTGAGACGGCTGTAAGCCACAAAATCTGCTCTGAGCTTTATATGTTGGGTCAGCTGTGATCCTCTCTAATTTAATATTTACACTGACATACTAAAGCTAGGCTGCTGTGGTGTATTTATATTTACTGTATTCAGTTTAATACATGCTTTAATACATGCAACGTACAACAAATTTGTGTATTAAAACAATGCACTTTGTTTTCTTGAAGTTTTACCATCAACAACAGAGAGACGTTTTTCTCAAACTCAACCAGAAGCAGGATAGTACATCATGTACTGCAGCGCACAAAGTACGAGGACGGGAAGTCTAAGATGGGTAAGAAGACGGTTAAACCCCTCCAAACATCTTCATCAAACGTGTCACACACACTCCTTTCTTACTCCACAGTCACTACGATCTATCTTTATCATATAATGGTTATTATCATAACAGTTTTTACGATAATAGTAATGGTTATTAAGACGTTTACAAAATTGGTTGAATCTAAAAATATCCAGGTCACACATGACCCCAAAATCAAATGTTTCAGGTGTTTAAATGTTTATTAAAAAATATTTTGGTTAATTGAAATAAAGCTAGATAAAATATTAATATTAGATGGCAAAAACACAAACTTAAAAGAAAGAAAAAAACATTTGAGAAATGTTAATTTAGAGCTGAAATAAATCAAATGAAACTTACAGAAAATTAAACTGAAATGAAAATAAAATTAAAGCCATATAGAAAAAGCACATAACTAAATTAATAAAACAAACTCAAATTAAAAAGAAAACTGAAGATATAAGTTAAAGCTTATTCAAAATGTTAAGAGTATGTAAATAATATAATACTGCTGATTTCATGAAATTCCCCATTGTTAATACATTTCTGTCAATAAATATTTGAAGAGATGTGATATGGTTTTATCTACAATGACCTACAATATCCCTCTGACCTTTTTAATTGAATGCCGCCCTTTTCGCTAATCTCTCTGTTAGTCCTCTTATTTTAATGTCACACTCATGCCCTTCTTATTTGGCTTTCTTGTCTGCCTGCTCTTGTGGTTTTCTGCTGATTAAAGCTGGCCTTGCAATTGGGATGTTCATGTTAATAAATTAATGCCAGTGACCGCCCACTCACTCAGACCAGATCAGATTGGGAGAAGAACTCTAAATCCCCCATAAATCCCTGCGCTCAATCGTGCCACTGCAGCTCAGCTCAATGTCCTACTAGTGAACTCAAAGCATCTGCAGATAATGAGACATAGTTTACAAACCTGACTATTAAACTGTGAGTTTTTATCAAATAGCTCTTCGGTAACTGTCAATAATGCATCTTTGGTAGTCGACCTGAGGCTCTCAAGCCTTGTTTGGTTCTTTAAAGGAATGTTCTGGGTTAAATAGTAGCTGTGTTTGTGGCATAATGTCACAGAAAATAACTAACACTTGTCCCTCAGTGTGTATTTGCATTGAAAGTAACCTTTTCCTGTGTAAATTCCAATCCAGGCTCATTGGAAATATGTGACTCTGCCTCTACGTGTCTCGCCATTTCTGCAAAACCTGAAATATGTTGCTCTGGGTACATTTTGCTGCACTTTTCAGGTGACACATAAACAAGAAACATTATAAGCCATATCTTTTTTTTCTCCATTGCAGATGCAGATTTACTAAACAACCCAGTTTTGGGAAAACAAACAAACAAATAAAAAAATTTAAAAAATGTGCCTATTTTTTTTGTGTGATGCCTCAATTTCCTAGAAAATTTGAAAAAAAAAAAATTTAGAAACTTTTTAAACTTTTACATTTAAAAATAATTTTCATGTGACCTGTATTTGTAATTTGTCTGCCAAAAAAAACGCTTTTATATTCAAGCAAGGCTTGACGTTTCTGCAACACCGATATTCCGTACATTAGTGCAAGTTTCGCAGCAAGCTTTGAAGTGAATTGTCCAGTGAGTGGCGCTAAAATGCGTGTTCAATACGTGACTGTGTCGGTGTTTTTAGTATATTGGTACAGGGACGTATTGCTAATTTGATTACGTTGCTTCAGATACAATACATATTGCGGCGTGTGTCACTAAAAGCTTAATGCTCTATTGTGTTGCAAATACCCTCTACACCAAACCCAACCCTAAACCTACCCGATAGTGTTAACGAATGCAAATGTGATATAAAAACGCATTCACTAATGCAACCATGCTTTAACTTCTTTCTATGCGGGTTTGAGCTGTTTTGTTGAACCATACTGTAGTTTCACAGGATTTATACCGGAGCTCTTCACTGCACAACTGCAACGCTGTATCGCTTGAGCTACCAGACAAACATACTGTTATAGAAAACCCATACATATGAAGCTGTATACGTGACGCTAACGATCAAAAGTATCCATTTTCACATCTCAATTCAAATTGTTTTGAAGTTATAACATAACATTGTGCAAGGAATTGTGCGAAAATTAGGCTTTCTTAATCTAAACTCTGGCCCTGTAAATCATACTTTGTGTGGAAAGGAATAAAAGTTGTGAGAGTTTTACTGCCTCTAGTGCCTTTCAACTGGAAACTGCAGCAATTCCTATGTATAGGTACGTGTGTGCAGAAATGTAGGTAGCGGCACATATTTCCAGTGAGCCTGGTTAGTTTGATACAGTATAGCCTACTTATTATGAACATAGATATTGGTACATTGTAATTACATTTAAAGTACTTGCATTTAACTGATATTTAGTTACACTGCCCTTAACCCAAAACTCTAACCCTTAATCCTAAACCTAACCATACGTCAATCTCCTCAATATGAGTTTTCTAGAACAACATTTAGTTACACAGTAAATTCATAGTCTTGTAGATTAATGTTAGTACATAGTAGTTAAGCCCACATAATATAAAGTGTGACCTCTTCTTATATTAAAAATGAAAGTTATACAGGTTTGAAATGACATGAGGATGAATAAGTGATTTTTGGTAGCACTTTATTTAAAGTACCAATCCTCACTATTACTGTAACTAGCAGGCATATAACTAGCATATTGGCTGTTTATTAGTACTTATAAAGCATGTTAATGCCTTATTCTACATGATCATATTTTAGATCCCCTAATCCTACTCCATACCTAAACTCAACAACTAACTTACTAACTATTTATAACCAGCAAATTGTGAGTTTATTTAGGCAGAAGTCATAGTTAATAGTTAGTTAATTGTGAGAATTGGACCTTAAAATAAAATGTGGCTATATATTTATTTTTTGGGTGAACTGTCCCATTAAACCAAGCACAGCTGTTTATTTCAAACTTCTGAAGATCAACAGCAACTGAAAGTTGAAAAGCTTATGAATATTTCAACCAAAGATGAACAGTCTGGCATCATTTTCTCACTCACATGTTTTCCAAATGAAGTCACTCTTTTCCATGCACCATGCAAAGAATGGGAACTGAAGCTTTTACGAAGAACAAAACCTTTAAAAAAAAAAAAAGACACAAACCCCCATGAAAATATAAAAAAATGTGGTTAATTTAACTTGCCTATGCTATTTTTCACATTTCAAAATGATTAAGTAAGAACACTTCTACTCTGCAAAGAGACAATACAATTTTTACATTTACAATTTACATTTGCATAAATATAAAATTACATCACTGCCTGTCTCCATTATAAAAGTGAAATAATATGGGTTTGGAACAACATAAGGGCCTTTCGCACCGCTTTAGTTCCAGAACTAAATGTACAGTACTAAAGTACTGGGACGATTTTGTGCAAACTATTTTCCAGTACCATTTAAAGGGTTGCATTCGCACCGAGAGTGTGTGCTAAGAAGTGACGTAAGCCGGCCGACAGCGACGTCATTTGTGCGCAGTGTTCAACAACGAAAACAAATAAAAACAACGTTAACAACAGGAGGATGGAGGACGCTGTGTTCGGAGCTGTGTTTTTGTTGTGTCTCACGGGTTTCACAATAATGGACATGGAAAGTCGACGCATACGTAAAGTGATTGAAAGAACGGAAAGGAGGACTAAGAATCTCCAACGACAACTGGCAGTGCTACATTTGCTACAAGTGCCTGCACTTCAGCGTCCGTCCAGCTATCGCTGTTCTCCATACTTGCGAAATAAATTGACACAATGTTTACAGTATGTTTACACAGCGTTTTAAATCATGGCGGGTGAGGGCGTTTTCTTACGCGTTTGGCCAATCAATGTCTACTTACGTCACTTACGATTAGTACCAGTTGTGCTGGTTACACACTGCTCCGGAGTAGGAGCTAATTTGGTTCTCGAAAAAGGCAGTCAAACTAAAATCTGAACTAAAATTGTTCCCAGTTCCGGCGGTGCGAACACGCCGAAAAGTGGGTAATTCCACAATTAGTTCTGGTACTATGAAAAGGTTCCTGCGGTGCGAAAGGCCCTATAGTGAATGATAATAGAAATTTGGAGGAACTATTCCTAGTTCCCTATCGAAAAGTAACTCTCGTTCCGCCAGCTTTTGAAGCTTATGAGAAAACTCATGTTTACTATGTTGCTGAGGCCTGATTTGTTAACGTTTTTGTAACTGCACTAACCAATGGCACTCGAGCCCGCCAAAAAGTGGAGAGCTGACTGCTATTTAAGTCGGCCCAGTGCGCCATCTCATCAGACTCTTCTCCTTCAGCGACGAGACCATCTCTTTGCTGACTCTGCGATCACGGAGCTGAGCAACTGGGTTTGAGTGATCCCAAGCCGGCACAGGTTCCGAGTGCTCACTCTCCCTGCAGCACTTTGATCCGCCATTGTGTTTACACGTAAGGATCAGCGCCCCTCATTACTTCAAGCAGCTCAATTCTTCTAGGCGGATTGGAGTAGAATGCTGTCACCGAGGTTACTCTCTCCACTTCGCTTGCAGGCCACCTCAGAGGTATTATTCAAACTTCTGTACAGGACAAAAAAGCTCGCGTTCTTCGGTCTGAAGTGCTGACATTGCTTGAAAAAGGTGCCGTAGAAACGGTCCCTTTAGCGAACAGCGAGTCCGGTTTCTACAGCCGCTACTTCCTTGTTCCCTAGAAAGATGGTGGGCTCAGACCAATTCTCGATCTCAGACATCTGAATCGCTCTCTCATGCGACGGCCATTCAGAATGTTAACTTTGAAACGGATCCTTGGGCAAATATGCAACGAGGACTGGTTCCCTTTCAAGGGAACTTCGAACTGCGTCCTCTAGGGGTCGCTATGGGGAACACCTCATCGTGACCCGTGTCTGAAGCATACATTCAAAAAACACCAACAACATGTTGGCCGGCGACAGTCCATGACATCACTACCGGTGCGACTATAGTATAAATAGGCACCGGGAGAACATGTCATTCTCATCTTCGTCTTCA